TCACTGTGTCATGCTCCTGCATTCTTCCTTCTCTCTCTTCTGCAGTGCTTCCTGAGGCTTAGAGGTAGTGGCAAAAATGTCTCTTGTTTAGGGCTGAGCCCACAACTATCACTGATTCTTAGCATCTTGGGCAGCCACAAGTCTCTACAATTTCTGCTGTTCTCAGCAAAGACAGGCTTCTCTGATGAAGGCTGAGAATAGCATTTGTTTATGCATATAAACATAAATATTTAGAAAGTAGTTTGATACTGTGTTCATTTAGCTAAGCAACAATAGTAAATTCCCTCTAAGGCCTTTGACCTCTTCAAGTATGGGCTTTGACTGAGTTCGCAGCAGCAGGCATGTATCCCCTCCTGTGGAGGGGTCTCAAATCCAAAGACTAGAAGGCTATTCGCATGACAGTTGTGTCACTATCGCACAGCTGGGCACATCTTGCCTGGTAGGTTGGCACTGCAGTTTGTACGGGTCACAGCTGCTTAAGACTGTTGATAACCTTCTCCAGTACCCTGCATAGCACCTTCTGGGACCGAAAGCTACCCTCAGGGAGGAAGCTCCCAGTTCAGTTCTAGGGTGATTTCTCTGTTTGCACCCAAGGTTTGTGAAGTCTTTAGCAAAAGGGTACTAGCATTTAGTTCTGGCGGGCAAAAAAAAGGATGACAAGGCCCTGTGCTGGGGGAAGGGCACCTCTGAGGCTTCCCTGACCGACATCTCCTGTGAAGATTTTTGTTTAGTAACCCATTGCTTCTAGAACCTACATTATCTAGCCATGCAGGGAATCTCCCCTCAAACCCTCTTTTATGTTTCTTGGCTGGGCTACAAGATGGTAAATTTCTACGTGACTTTTAATTTTTTGCTTGTGTGTGTGTGTGTGTGTGTGTGTGTGTGTGTGTGTGTTCATGCATGTGTGGAGGACAGAAGTTATCAGGTATCTTCTCTCTCTTAGTTTTTGAAACAGGGTCTCTCACTGAGCCTGGAGTTTGCCACTTTGGCTAGACTGCCTGACCAGAAACCCTAGGGACCCACCTGTCTCTGCCCACCCCCAGTGATGGGGTTACAGACTCATACTGCTCTGCCTGGCTTTTTTATGTGGATGTTGGATATCTGAACTCAGGTCCCCATGCTTGTGCGGCAAGCTCTTTAACCAGCCCAGCCATTTCCTTGGACCACAAGTTTTTTAAGAGTGTGTTACAGACAATAAGTTATTTGATCCTTAAAGAGGAAACAGGCAGCATTTATTGTATGTTTTATAAATAAGGAAGCTCAGTAAGGGGCAGGGGTTGGTTTGCAATGTGTGTATTTTAACTATTAGTTCAGAACTCTGTGTATAATCCATGGTATCTCATATCTGTTTGAATAGCTTCATTTTATCAGTGGATTCAAAGAGATAAAACATTTGCCTGAAATGACGAGTATTTCCTGATTGCAGAAACATTTATGATACCTATTAGTCATTGTGAACCCGTTTTGTTTGTAATACAGGCAACAGTATTACTACATCTTTATTTTCCCAACTCAAAGGTATGGGGGGAGGGTTAGAGCCAGCTCTTTGTTGGAAGAGAAAAGGAGGAAGGTGTTCTGGGTAAATGGCAGGGAAAAGCTGCTGTGGGCCTACATGCTCTGCACCCTCAGCTGGATCCTAACCCTTCGAGTTAATAGAAGGCTCAGCTCAGGCGATACTTGATCCAGGAAACTTCTTGACCCACTTCCTCTGCCTCTTCTCACTCGGATGCCCTGCCAGTGTTCTCATAAGCCCCTGGCACTTTAACAGCATTCTTCCCACCGTTTCATAATTGTCACTGTTCACCTATTTTCCCACACAACGGCAAGCTCATTGAGCATGAAGATTCCTATTGCTCCACATCTTTAGGACTTAGAGGATTTGTCACACAATAGTTCCTCAGCAAATCCATCTTTTATAAGCAAAAGAGCCTTCTGCCTTTTGGTGCAAAGGGGTGGCCCAAGATTTTTTGGCTGTGTTGACTTTCATGGAGCTAACTTGAGAATTTCATGGCTTTGAGCTGCACATTATCTCTGATCTTTGAAGGAAATGCTTTACAGATGCGAACAAGGATGGAAGCAGCAAGGCCAAAGCTTAGTTGGTTCCCTATACATTTGGTGATCATGCCTGATAATTTCTCTTCTAACATCTTCCTTGGGCACTTTGGAAACTAGATGAAACTAAGAAGGAACCGGATATGTAAGTCAATTAAAAAAAAAAAAAACTTTTTGCAAACCAGCTTTGTCCCCACCCCTTTCCTCTGGCATATGACTAGCTTCATTTGAGGCTAGATGATGATAATATAAATACACACATACATATATATACTGGGCTCAGCTCAGGTGATACTTGATGCAGGAGCAATCAATGTTAAAATTGTTTTCAATAACGGAAGAATCTATGTAAAATTAAACAAACACAAGTAACTTCTACATTGCAATACATTTGGGGATCCCAGGAGTGGTCCTGTTATTCTGAAATTTGTAGGAATATATTTTGTTTTGCTAAAATTTTAATAATTCTAATTTCCTAAAATTTAATTTATATGGAATTGTAAAATGGAAATTATCACTTTGCTACTTTTGAATCTTGTCTATATCTTTGATCAAAGCCTTAGTTCACTTTGAAAATGAAATACGCTCTTTAAATGTTTTGCAAAGAAATCCTTGTTATGTGCACACACCATCCACACATTGCTTTCTGCTGGCTGCCCTCTGAAGGGTCAGTCTGTGTTCACCTTGATGTGACTGAGTCTACCTATTGAAATCTGACCTTAACTTTCTCAAGTACCAGTCTCTTTATACATTTTTAATTTATTTAATTATAAATGCAACATAAACAGAACACATGGGGAAAACTTATACATAATACCAATGTTTTAGGGACTATAATCTTTTCTAAATATCCCTTCACTGTACTTACATGCGTATTTTTATATACTTGTAATCATAATAAATTTGCAACTTGCTTTAAAAAAAAAAAAAAAAAACAGTACCAATTCTTTAAAACTCAGTCTTTTTAGAAGAAGGTGCGGGAAGGGGAGATGAAGACCGAGGGAGGAAGAGAGGGAGACAGAGAAAAATGAATGAACTCTGATGGTTTGGATGCTGGTATAGGACTATAACAAAGTGGCTGATGGTACCATCACAGATTGTATTTGGATATCTGCAAAAAACTGTAAACATTTTGACTCTCGTTAATTTTGTAAAACAGGAAAGGGGAAGAGGAAGGTGCGGGTATCAGACTCTTCCGGGAGCTCTAAGGGTGAATTTGCTGAAGTCAACTTGTCAAGTAGGTTATGGCTGATTTCACCTGATTGCTACTTCTTGTGATTAACAATTTGATGTCAAGCTAGGTAGTATTTACTTCTCAAGATTTATAAACTTGCAACTCAGAGGTTGCTATTTATTTCCCTTGAACTGCTCATGGAAAAGAATGACCTCAACTGTAGGAAACCAAAGTGTTTCTTTTTCTTTGGCTCACACAGTGTAGGCATTAGAGACTTGTGAAATTGGCACATTTTATAAAGACACATTGGGAGGGTAGGCGTTTCTTCCATCCATTCAGAATGTCCAGTACAAATCTTACTTTGGATCCAGTACTCTGAGAGGTGGCCTTTACAATTTTTATGTCATGTCCTTGTTTATTCTGTAAGGCAGGGCCGAGGACAATGACTTCTTTTGTCTTATGGTAGGAAATTAGGTATGCTGAACTTCTAGAAATCCTGTAGACTGGAATGTAGTTATGAACCCTGCCAAGGAACATGAAGCTTTCTTTGCTGGATTTCTAATCAAAGGCTGATTTCCCATCCACTTACAGGCCTCCTCTGCAATCACCAGAGAGGGTGTATAAAGGGAACAAAAAGGTAAATATTAAAATAAAAATATAAAGTTAAATTAGATTCAAGAATACATACATATGCATTGTTAATACATCTTTGAGACTTAATCACAATCAGGTTCTTCTCAATATTATGGATAAGAGAATTGATTCAGATTGTTTCTAAGCCTGAATTGCAACAATATTGAGATTTGGGTTTTAGTACCTTCTCCTTCATCCCTATTCCCTGAGGATAACAGAGGAACTCAACCAGTCCTCTGTCCAGAGGGGAACCGGATTCCTCACTGAGGAACACAGTAGAAAGGGCCAGGCTGCCATTTTAACACAGAATGGGCACGTGGTGATGCTCCCTTTCTTTAACCCGGCCTCTCGTGCCCCCACCGTAAGCACCGAGTGCACGGAAGTTTGAGACCCTGACGCTGAACCCGGACAGAGGCTCTATTACCGAGGGCCAGTCTTCCGCCGAGCCTAGGCAAACGCTCGCCTGGGCCCTCTGAATCCACCAGTTCCGGGAAGCCCGGCTTGCGACTCGCTTCCAGGATCCTAAGGCGGGGGCCACCTGGCCGACAGGGGCTGCCCGGGGGTCTCAGCGAACCAGCCAGCCGGCTCCCCTCTCCCGCCCGCGCAGGGCGCTTCCGGGGCTCCAGGCTCCGGGGCGGCGGCGAGGCCGGAGCGGCGGCCCGGGCCCGGCGGGCGGG